CAATCTAGAAAATAAAAAACATTTAAAATGAAACAAAACTGTCATTCAACTCCGTTTTGAATATTTGTTATATTTGCATTTTCTTTTATAGCTAAAGATGCAAACGATGGTTTAGATGAAAATGTGTTCCAACTGATAATAGAGAAGACTTCTTTCAGTATTACAGTGCAGTCTTCTTCCAGAAGAGGGCGCTGCTGTTTATCCCTAAGTGAAGCCTATACTGATTGTGAGAGAAATAATCATGGCAGAGAACAGAAACATGAAACGATCAGAACAGAGTGAGGTTCAGGATTATTTTAATGGCTACAAAAAAACAGAATCCACTATGTGCAGTTCTGTTTTTAAATATAAGTACTCAACAAACCTGTTATCTCCTAATTAGCAACCATTAATTAATGCTGCATGGGTGGTTAATTATAGTGTCAACCTCTCAACCTAAAACTACCAGCATGCTGGTAAAGCGAGGATGTGATGACAGAGAAAGGATAAGAATTTCATTTGTAAGGTGATAAAAAAAAATGCGTACTAATAGGAGCAGTTGATAGAATTAATGCTCCTCATGGAGCCAACTTTTAACATCCAATTATTTTAAAGCAACCATAACATCCCACTTAGAGGCACAGCCAATAGCACAAAGTGTCTCGCCATATGGACATAAATTGGCATGTACAGTCTCACAATATGTCAGAGTGACATGTCCTTAAATGATAGTTTGACATCATCGTTCATAGGGGATCATTAAGAGCATGCAGTTAGGGTCCTGTTTACTTATATTTTATAATAATATCTAGTTAATGTATGAGGAAACCACAATTGTTAATACAGTCTGTTCAATTTTTGAAATATGATTTTGTTTTATTTTTTAAAATTGGTATATGTTTAAAGAGAGAGAAAAAAAAGTCTTAAACACCCTCTCAACAAAGGACAATTTGTAGTTTCTAAGAAAATGGGTGCTTATTTATAAGCCTGTCAGTAAACCAATGAGATTTATCAGCTTTAAATTACATCATGAATCGATAACTTGCATCCTTAGTCATTATCTAAGTTGGGTATTTGTGCTTTACATAGATGTTTGTGTTCTATTTCAGTGAGTTGAAGACAAAATGTAACTGATATATGGAGGTTACATTTCTTTAAAGATTAACCATTGATGTATGTGCTTTGTTTCTCACAGATGAGTTTGGAGCTCTGGAAAGTGTCAAGGCAGCGAGTGAACTTTATTCGCCTCTGACTGGAGAAGTTGTAGAGGTCAATACACTACTGGCGGACAACCCTGGTTTGGTCAACAAATCCTGCTACAAAGATGGTGAGCACACTCAAAAGCTCTTACTGCTCTACAGTCCGGTTTGCTTCTTCAGCTTTATGAAAAAAGACAAACTAAATTTTAGAAAACGTTCTTCCTTTTAGTGGAAAAATAGAGCGGATGCTCAGTTATTCAGTTTAAATGTATTACAATTTCTTGAAATTATTCATAAACCTCATAAACCCCTCTTACTGAGAAATAAACTATTCCAAACACTGGGTTATTTGGTCAAATATAAAATTGGCTATATTAAAGATAAAATAAGTATTGTTTTTATAATTTTCTACAGGAATCTTTTTTGGTTAGACACCAGAGGGCAGTATTGTACAGGCATATCATTTTGCCAACAAAAAGATAAATGTCCTAAAAATGACATTTTTGTATCCAGGAGCCTATATCAAGTAGGTTTCACAGTACAGCCATATTTTAGTTTGCTGTGATGTAAGACCTGAAAAATAATTTATGGAAATGGAACAACTAAGCAATATTTATGACCTTACTGGGAAATGCAGAACAATAACATATTCTGTCTTTTAAACAAGCAGATCTCTTCCCTCTAAACCAAACCTGGAAGGCTCCAAGGTCTAAATGGTGCCACTTCCATGTGTCCAGAAAGGAGTTTAATGAGTTCTCAAGCTCTTTAGAATTGTATTTTAGGTCGGCTTTGTGCTGCATAAACAACTTATATTGCTGCTCAATGTTTTGCATGATGATCAAACCTTGGAATAAATTATGTCTAAAAACCCCGTTTCCTGTAGGTTGGCTGATGAAGATGACGATTGCTAACCCTGCTGAGCTCGACGCTCTGATGGACGAGGCGGCATACGAGAAATACATCCGCTCCATCGAGGACTAACCTTAGATTATTTCATGAATACTATCCTTTTTTTTAAGTGCTACTTTGCAGGGAGATGCATTTGACATGCCTCTCGGTTCCATCACAATGCATCCAGCAGCAAAGCTTAACTACAGCTATGTACTGCTGATCTGACTGGGTCGTAGAAATGTGAACTTTAGAAAGTCTTTACCTATTGAGTACAACTGTCTGCACTGAATAAACAGCCTGCCTTTTTATAACTCTGAAACATTTAAACGCAAGAAATGAAACCAAGGCAGTAGAAAGTCCACTAAGCATTTCAATCAAACCTAAAATTCTGCTTTAGTATTCATAGACTTAAACGCACTTTGGTCTTTATGGTGTTATTAATCTGGTTTGTCTACACTGTGGATATGGGGCCTGTGTAATAAAAAAATAAACAATTCCTCACATATTTGTGTGAATTTTTTTCCCTAACTTAATAAGAAATTAAAGAAATCAGAGATCAATTTACAGTTTGCATGTCATTGTGGCGGGCTGTGCAGTGGATAGCGCTGTTGCCTTGCAGCAGGAGGGTTCTGGGTTTGATTCCTGGCCCGGGGTCTTCCTGCACAGAGTTTGCCCGTTCTCCCTGTGCATGCGTGGGTTATCTTCGGGTGCTCCGGCTTCCTCCCACAGTCCAAAAACATTGCTTCTTAGGTGTGAGTTTGTGTGCGAATGATTGGTTGTCTCTGAATGGTTGTTTGGCAGGGTACACACTGGACAGGACTGGCGACCTGTCCAGGGTGTACCCTGCCTCTCGCCCATTAACAGCTGGGGATGTGACCTTTGCAACCCCAGTAGGGATATACCTGACAAAAAATGGATGGAAGGATTTTATTGTTGCTGCACCAAGTACTGCAAAGGAAAAGTAACAACCATAACTGCAAACTCCAAGAAAAACTAAGTGCTGAAACCCTTGTTAGAAACTTGTTAGGATTTAATTTAGATGATCACCTAACATTTTTAAGCTAAAGTTTGTTGTCCAATTTTCATTTTAGCCGTCACAGCTAATTTATTCTGAATTTTAGTTCATTTTCATTCTCTTTAAAAAACAGATTTTTATCATTCAATGACTTTAATACCTATTCAAAGTAGGCTAGAGTGAGGACAGTACTGTAGCAACTTGCTGATTTAACCAAAAAATATTTAGCTAGACAGATGAGAAACCTGCAGCAAATTCATTTAGACTCTCCTTTCTGGAAGAAATGAGCTACAACCCCATAATTCCCTCAGACAATGGAAATCAAGGCTGAGTTTCTTCCTATCACAGTTTATCTATGAAAAGTTATATCCCTTGAATCAGCAATTTCTCAGCTTTTAGCAGTCAGAGGCATCAGGGGCCCTAACTAACATTAAAAGGTTAACAGCTAGTTTAAAGATGATGGTTACATTGGTTTGCATTGTAAAGCAGTAGAACATCTAATTTATTATGTAAGGATTCTATTAATTTAACACCAAACTGATCTTTAATGGCTTAAACCAAGTTGCAGGATGTCCATCTTTTTAACCGACATAGGGGTGTTTATATCAATGTTTTGGTATTAAATCTTTTTCAGTCATCAACAAAAAATTCTGGTCTCCTGTTCTTCATTTATTGGTTCATTTCTCTCCATCTCAGGTTTATCTCCATGACAGGTTTACAAACTAATGGATTCTCAATCTTTTAAAATGGCTTTCTTAGATTATGTAATTTTTCATGTGATGGTATGTATTGGCAGTTTACATATGCAACAGATGTTACTCAGTTGCAGAGTTGAATGAGCTCATCTGAAATAAGGAAATGTGAGATGAAAATGAGTTTCATTTGTATTATAATAACCTAAATTTGCAACATGTTCCCCATATTTGAAAAACATTTGACGAGCTTATCAAACCAGGTTGGATCAAGCTTCTAAATATGGCAGTTGTGTGGGTGTGTAGGGGACAGATGTGAGTTTAATATGTAGAAATTTCACTCTAATAAAAATAGCCTGAGAAATTAAGAGAAAAGTTAAAAACTTAGAATTTCCTTTATCTCCCTGTGGTCGGAAAATTTAGATTTCTCTTGTTTCATGCTATTTAATCTCTATAAAACGTTTCACTTGGTCTGTATCACCTGCAAGGCCACACAATGCCTTAGTGAGGGGTGTTTGTAGACAAGATATACTTCTTTCCATAACAAACTAGAATCTTTCTCAAGGTTTATTCATAACATGTTACTCTTAACCAAAGTCTCTGTAATTTGTTTTGACTACATTCCATCATTGTAAGTTAAATCCATCGATCTCTGTTTATTTAACTGGAATAAATAGTTGAATACTTTTTTTCCCACTACACTCTATAATTATATATAGAAACTTCCATTGGATAGAGAATGTTTTATCAAAAATTTGACAAGAGTAGAAATGAACCAGCTCCAATTTGATGGAAGGTAACCACCTTGCCAAGACTGCAGATGAGAGGTAGATGAAACCAAAGCTTTACTGATGCAACAGGAAAAGAAAAAGATAACTGTGCTTTAATGCACAGCAGGGAAAAAGTATCTGCAGTTTAACAGGATACTTTAACATTATTTTTTTGATAATACCCTAGTTGATCTTTGATAAATAAAGATGATCCACTGCAGGTTTTTTACTAATGCTTGAAAAAACCAAACATCTTAAATGTTCTCTCATAACTGCATCTTTAACATGAACAGACTTTCTAATATCTTGATCAGTATATCTATTTTTTTTTTTTTTAGCAAAAAGCTGTTTTAATAGCTATTAAGACCACTAACACGAAGATATAAGATTTTATATGAAAGACCAACAAAAAGTAGCTGAAAGTTATAAGATGGAAGGCATATTAGCCACATTTTGTTATGAATAAAAGTTCCAATAGTCTGTTAAGTTGGTGCTCAATCTTTTTTTGTTCTAACACCCTTACTATGTTTTTAAATTCTGCTTATTTATTTATCACACATTGTTAACATTTAATGTCAAGTTACCTTACAGAGACAACTCAACCCAGCCCTGCTGAATACATCGAGTCACTTTGCAGGGTTTGCTCCTGCTGGTTGAGCATGTAGCGACAGCAGATATTCAGTGCAACAGGTTTCCTTTAACAGTCCAGCTGTGGGTAAACAGATTCCACTTGGGTGTAAATTTAATCTTAATGGCAAATGTTTGTAAAAGTCCCAGAGGTTTGTTAGAAAACCAAGATGACCAAGAAACAAATCAGCCTATAGTTGAAGATAAGGTTTAAAACCTTTAAGACATGAGCATCCACCTGGAGTGACTGGCCAGGGAGGGATGGCAGCAAAGGGACCTATGCTGACTTTGTAGGAGCATTAGCAATCCTTAACTCGGGTGGGAAACACTTAAAAATATGGCCTTTATAGACAAATTGTGAACAGAAAACAGAAGGAAGTAGACTCAACAGGTGGAAGAACTTTATGTGACCAAAACTAAACTTCCTGGATAATAGGCGCAAGTTTAGAGCCTGTTTGAAAACTGATACTACATATACAGTTATCAGAATGAAAAATAAGGGGGAAGTAACTGATCCAAACATAAGCCAGTCCTACAGGAAAACAGTTTTGAGTTAGATGGATAATAAAATTGCCAATATTTCAAATATTTATTCCTGGAGAAATTTCTAACTATGCATAATTTCCACCTCCTCATTGTTGTGAACTTCTTTGTTCTGATGCTTCTCAGAAATTCCCAATAAAGTAAACTGAACTTTGTGATTAAAACAGAAAAAAACACAAAAATAGTTTAAGGAATACTTTTTAAAAGGCACTTTCATTTCAAAATCTTGTAGCAGCATAAAAAGACATACTGTAAGTTCAACCAGCATCTTAGTGTTAGTGACAGTACTGTAAGGTACACTTTTGAGAGAAAAAAAATATCAGAAAACCAAATCAAACTTTAACTTAAATAATATCAACATGTTACAATCCTGCTGATTTCTCATTCAGTTCTTTGAAACTATGGCACCACCAGGCACCACGGAGAATCTGTCCTTGGCTGTTGGAGTCCTCCTGGCCTTTCCTCTGGCTGAAGGGGGCGGAGGGAGACCCTCCAATCTACGATGATCCCTCTCTAGCCTCTCCCGTCTCTGAGCTCCCTCGTACATCACACTGGCCGTAAAGTCTCTCTCATTAAGGAAAGCGATGGTCTCGTCTCTCTTGCGGCTCACGTATCCTTTTAGGACTGCATTGTAGGGGTTTGATGCTGCGTCTGCGTCCGGGTCTTCCAGCTGGTGTTTGAACTCCATGCGGGTGATGACAGGCAGTAGGAATTGTTTCCCTTCTGTGACCACAGCACCGTCCCGGTGGGACAAACCCAGAGCCTCAGACACTAGACGTTTGGGCAAAGGCACCAGATCACAGCCCGAGCGCTTGTCGACATATTGCTGAAACTGCTTGCGTACCAGAGCTACATCTTGTAGGGATTTGGTCCTTCGCTCCTCCAAATCGATTACTATCCGTTCAGGATACGTCTGGCCGAACACCACACCTTAACAAGCAACAGATATAAAATGAGTTTAGTTAGGTCTACGATTAAGAAGTTATCAAACCTGAAAAGTTTTGAGAAGTTCCTCACCGGCTCGTCGCAGCATGGATGCAGGGCATTTCCAGGGTTTGTGAATCAGCTCATCTGGTAAATCTGAAAGCTCGGGACACCATTTCCTGACATAGCTGCCGTATGGGTCACAAGTCATCGCTGCATCAACCGGATGCATGACAAAGTTCCAGTGATCTAGGCCGCACATACCGCCATTCTGCCACATCATGGCATCTATAGCAACGTCTGCGTCGACCAATGTGTCCTAAACGGGAATAAATAAATATTTGACTTGCTACAGCTGTAAGCCTGTGCAATTTTTTGCATGACTAGAGAGTTTCTACTTCATCAAAAAAGGGGAATACAATACATGCACCAATTTAAGGAAAGAAATTTATGTTTTAGCTTTCACCAATAACCCCAATTAAACCCAAACTATTTTAAAGAATGAGCTAAGTGGCATCTGTAGTAAAGGAGAAATAAATCTAGGTTAAAATAGAAGTATGGTTTTCACACTTTCTAGTCAAAAGTGATCTGGTGCAATAAAAATGTAGCTATTAAAAACTAATAGAATAGCCCTTTAGGTCCTATCTTTGAAGCTACAAATTGGACACTAACTTTCGTCTTTTACGTTCTAGAATCTTACCTGGAACCAACGATAGCCCTCTTGCCAAGGCAAATGGAGATATGCAATGAGAAAAGATGCCACAACATGTCGCATGTAGTTGTTCATCCAGCCTGTCAGCCACAGCTGCCTCATGGCTGCATCAACCAGCGGGTAGCCGGTGTTACCTTTCTGCCAAGCCTTCAGGTGGCTGCGATCAGTGTTCCAGCGTAAAGCCTGCCAATAATAGCAGATTAATAATTCCTGCTGCTCAATACAAACCAGCCATGCTACTGCAAATCCCTGAATAATAAATCGATGTGTGTCTAAATTTATCTTAACCTTGTATGGAGGTCTGAGGGATTCCCAGGGCAGGTCAGGAAACAGTGTCAGTTGCCAATAAGCCAAATCCCTCCATGCCAGCTTGCGTTGGAACTTGGGAGGTCGACACCGCGCTCCCTTGGCATCCCACAGAAGCCAGCGTGGGCTGAGCTGACCGAAGTGCAGGTAGGGAGACAGGGAGCTGGTATTCGGAGCATCTGCTCTGCCTGACTCTTTTTCATACCGATAAACCCCTGGATATTGAAGAGATAAATAGCAGCTGTTTAATACCTTTAAAAGTAAAGCTGTACTAGAGTTAATGTGCGCTTAAGGTGTCTCACCATCATGAAGAAAAGCTTCCAGTCGGGCGTGTGCTCCATCTTCACTGAAGTCCCAGGACTTCCGAATGTTTGCTGCCCAGTCAACCTTAATGCAACAATAATAAAAATAAAAAATAAAAAAAACAATCGAAACATTTCTGAATTTCTCCACATTATTTCATTTTACAATCTCAATGCATTTCATCGGGAATTAGGTGATAAAGTATCACAGAGGTGATAAAGTATCACAGAGTAAAATGTTTACCTGAGGCAGTACTAAAAGGCTTTCCGATTTCTTTCAAAATAGACTTCTTAAATCTAAAAACTTGGTGTGCATTTCTATTCAGTGCTCTTTAATTTATACCACTAAATAAACCAGCCTCCCAAAGTCACTGAGTAAATAGAATCCTTTAAAATGCATTTTCATCTCAGCACAAATCCAGCTGTTCTGTAAAGGTTGCAGGTGTTTGTTAGAGACCCTTAGTGAGCACACAGCACAGTGAGGACCAGGAGAACTCTAAAAGATGGTAGGATTATAAAACTCACCAAGGCTGAGCCAGAAAAACATCAATCAGAGAAGCAGCCGAGGCTTATGGTAACTCTGGGGCAGCCGGAAACCACTACAACAGTAGTGGTTACCAGGACAACTATGAGTTGTAAATTTCACACACTTGGCCTTTATGGAAGACCGACAGGAAGAACGCCATCTTTTAAAGAAAGATGTACAAAGACCTATTTGCAGTTCGCCAGAGGCCATGGCAAATGTATACAAGATGCTCTGGTTGGATGAAATAAAACATCATCCTGATGCCATTTAACAACATGGTGGTAGCAGCATTATAATGTGGAGAACTGGTTAGAGATCAGGAAAAAACAGATTAAGCTTTTGAGGACAGTAATGCTGATTAGAAAAAAAACTTAAATGTTACAAAAGACTGATTGGAAGGCAATGTTTGGAATGGTTCAGTTAAAGTTTAATATTTAACTTAAGGGGACTGAATGCACATACAAACCATATTGTAGCGGCTGGACGAAGAGGTGCATTATGGGGCACTGTTTTGGTTTGTTTGCTTGTTTATTTCCTTGTTATTCTGTTTAAATGTTGCTCATGTTGTTTATTGTTCGTATTTGCCTCAGTTCATGCTGTTTTGGGGGTATGTGTTGAGGGCATGTGAGTTTCACCCTGAGTGATAAGGCTGTTGCGTTTACTGAAGTGTGTGCTGCATCCCTAACATTGTGGTTGAAGAATAAATAAACACTGCTGATAATCAGTCAACTAAGCAACTAAGCCTGATTATTTGTAACGCTCACCAGTGTTACAATATTTTTCATCTCTGAATTACATTTAAGTAAAATAAAGGAAGCCATATTGAATGGTTGCCACATAGAGCAGCCTGGGCTTTAGGTTTGACTTAACATTTGTCTTCAAGTGGGTAAACCAATGAACTGTCCAGACTAATATTGCAGGTTGTTGGTGCACTTAATGAGGTCCATGTTCAAGAAGGTTTTATGTGTTAATCTTCATACAGGGCAATGTTTTTATAATCCACATCCACAGGATACACTTCAACTGTTTAGCTCTAAATCCAGGTCAGTTTGCACTCAAACAAAAGACTCCATCCACTACCTGTCCACTGAAGGAATGGCCAACATCTGGCCACATCCATACTCATCACACAATGTGATTAAATAAACAGGAATGCATCTAAAATCATAAGTTTAAATGATAAATCTGATGGTTAATTTTTCACTTTTAATTTTAAATGTGAAATTGTAAGGAGAACACAATCAAAGGCCTTAACACCGTAACAGCTTTGCAGTAGTCTGAGTTAGTCCATCATCTAAAACCTCATTAAAAATCTCTCGTCTTTATATTTGTAACATGAAAATATTTGAAAATATACAAATATAAATGCCTTAAATTATCTAATTTAGTGGCTAACAGATTTTAGTTAGCCTTGGGGGACTTTTCTCTCATGCCTACTCACGATTGTGCCATCCTTCCTGCGTGGCATGCGTGCCAGGCCGAGTGCATCCAAAGGGACTCCTTGTGGCCAATGGGCAGGTGAGGGAAGAGACACCGGTGGGTCCAGAGGAACGCCTACAGCAGCCCCTGGGTTCTGTCTGCAGCAGCTCATAAAATGAGAAACTGATCCTATTCCTACATCACAAAGAAAGAGAAAAAAAAACTGGCTAAAGAAAATGTTCAAATTTCAATTTAATATAAAAACCAAAATGGTAAAGACAAACCTCTGAGTCCGACGCCCTCTGTGCTGACAGAAAATGGATCTCTGAGGCAGTACGAGTGGAACATCTTAAATTCAACGCCCTCTTTCTGCAGGGCTGACGAGACTGCATCATCCCTCTCTTTCAGCCACGGTTCGTATAAAGCATTAGCCATCACACTTTGTGCTCCGGTCTCCTTTACTAATGTTTTTAGGGTATTCAGAGAAGATCCGACCTCAGTTACATCATTACTGGCCTTAAAGAAGACGAGGTGACTGCCGATCTGCTCCAAAGATGCTCTGAAGCAAGACAGAGCTTGATGAAGCCAATATTTACCTGATTCACAAAGAATAATCAATTAGTAAAAGTGTTAGATATTATAATTCTTTTAACATATCAACACATAAAAGAATTTAAAAGACTGCTTTTTTGAGTCTAATTGAAACTTACAAGCTCCGCCCATAGCTACAGTGACCCCTGGACCCTCCTCCTCTTCAGGACTCCAAATAAAGATAGGGATGACAGGTGCACCCACCTCCAGAGAGCCGATGAGAGCAGGGTTGTCACAGAGTCTAAGATCTCTCCTGAACCAGAGTAAAACAGGTGGTGGTGCTGATGGAGAACGGATCAAACCTACAACCTGCTGGGCAGCTGCTTTTCGCCGCTGGCGCCTACTTTTAGGGCGCTTTGGTTTCTCTGATACATTCCCATCTCCCCTTATCATTTGGTCACTTTTGGATGCTGTGGTTGGAATGGTAAATGAGGCAGAGGATCCTGGAATATATGGAGGCTGACTTGACCCTAGTGATTGGTTGTCACCACTTTTAAAACTCAGACTTTTATCATTTTCAATGTCAAGGAAGGTTTCCTTAGTCTTTGATCTTGACTGCTCTGTAAATTCACTTTTTTCTCTGCCAGGTACATCTTCTTGTTTGGAAAAGCTTTTTTCCTGAGACGTTGGTTTGGAACTCAGAGGTAAACTGCTTTGATCGTTTCCAGCCTGAAGAACCAGTTGGTTAGGAGCGGACATTTGGTTTTCTTTCATTTCCAGAAGAGACAGAGCCAAAGCAATTTCCAGCTCATCATCCTCAGTCTAAAAAAAAAACAAAAAGACAAAAATATACATGCTAAGATACCAAATTCCCAGTTTTGACAAAAACTACAGTGGGGCCAAAAAGTATTTAGTCAGCCACCAATAGTGCAATAGTGGCTGACTAAATACTTTTTTGCCCCACTGTATATTTAGCTGTATTGCAAACATAATATTCATAGTTTTATTTGCATTTAAAAAGTTTAAACAAATCCCACAATAGTTGCTCAAACACTATAAAAAAGAACAAAACAAAAGAATAACGATCATAATGTCAAAATTTTGGTAAAGACAAAAACAAAGCTAGGCATGTGAAATTGTTAGGCATTTATATATAGCAAAAAAAAAAAAAATGGGTGTTAAATATTCGGTCCAACTATTTTACTCTTTAAAACTTTTGACAGCCATGCAGGCTCATTTTTACTCTATTGGGTCGATTCCCCGCCAGTCTCTGAGAGGTCCTCTTAATCTTCACACTAAAATGAGTAAAATTTACTCTGAAAAGTTGACACTTCAGTCAGTCAGTCAGTCAGTCAGTCAGGAAGGAAGGAAGGAAGGAAGGAAGGAAGGAAGGAAGGAAGGAAGGAAGGAAGGAAGGAATCCATCCATCCATCCATCCATCCATCCATCCATCCATCCATCCATCCATCCTTTTCCTTCCTCAAGAATCTTCCTTCCTTCCTTCCTCACTGACTGACTGAATATATATACCAAACTATTTAGATTTACATTTGTAAAAACAAAACAAAGGGAAAGATGGAAGCTTAAAATAATGACGATTATAACTTGATTATACTATATACAGTATATATTATACTTTTACTATTATTATTATTATTATTATTATTATTATTATTATTGTTATTATTATTCCCTTATTGGTACTGAAGTACAGTTTAAGTATAAATTGAAGTTTCTGGTTGTAACATGAGGAAATGTTAACGTTTTGCTTTAACAGATGTTCTTAACGAGCCTCGATCACTTTTCATTGCAAGGAGAAATCCTTTACTTTTAATTTATTTTTATCAGTAAAAGTGGCAATATTCACTTAACCAGAACAGAAAACAAATAGAAAAGGCACTTTTAAATATAGCCTCTTTTTTCACTGACCTTAGTGAAATAGTCCTGATAGAGGGATCTGAGGACTGAGTGCAGCCGGATATTAGCTGTGGACAGCGGCTTGATGATGGACAGGAACTCTGAGCGGGTCTCTTGGTTTCCCAGGACGGACAGACACATCGCGAAGAAACACTCCGGATCTTCTCGACCCACTAGCACCTCCCTCAACATCTGCCTGACCACAGCTTGATCACCGGCCACTGTAGGAGGCATCCTGGCTGTAAAATGTGATGCCGATTTATTATTTAAAGTAAACTAAAATAAGCAGAGGAAGCAAACATTACGTTCCCAGGCACCACAGCCGGTTACCAAACGCCAGCTGACAGTAGTTACAAAAGCCATGTGTTGCCTGTTTTATAACAACTGTAATGATTCAACCTCACCAGTAGGGGGGGCAAAAGCTTAACGAAAAGCAAAGGAAAATAGACGAGTGAAACTGCTTGAACCATGTGAGTAACAGATGGGACTCCTTGTTTACATTTCATTAATTAGATAGATGGTATCCCCTTAGATTGATTCGTGCTTTAGAAATATCAATGCCTGCAGCATATCTGAGGCTTCCTTTGTGCTTCAACGCTTTACCTAAAGTATAATAATTTCAATACAAATTAGGCTGCACGTTAATCTGCAGGCTTGAGAGACCAAAACAAAATCAAACACAGAGCTGATGAAGACTAAGGTGCTGTGAGGTCAACTGATTTTTCTTTTATAGTTTTACAAAGCTTTCATCTTGACACAAATCTGTTCCTTTTTCAATATGCACCCACTGAGCAAGTAAAAAAAAAATAAATAAATACAAAGCTAGGAGACTGTGTACCCAGCAGTGAATTTTTAATCATGGTCTGCATTCCCTGCTGTTTAAGGGTCGCTAAGTAATTGATTTTTCTAATGAGACAACGTGCAAATTTGGAACATACGCAGCAGGGGATGCTGCTTTGTGACTCTGATGGACCAAATTGCAAAAAAAAAAAAAAAAAAAACTGCACAGATAAGACAAACAATATCCAAAACGTTACTCAGACTTCAACACCGGGGGCTTACAGTATTACTTTGTAACTACTACATGAAGAGCAGTGACAAGTGCTTTGGTATGTGAGGAAGGCAATCCAGAAAGAGAGGAAGAAGGGAAAGAGATTGAGAGAGAGGGGGAATCAATAGTGTTTAGACAGAGAAGTGGAGTCTAAGTGTGTGATCAATAGAGAGCAGAGAGGAGAGATTAGCTGCTTTTCTCCCTCAAACTAACACTGACAAATTGGTGAATTGGTGTATCGGCCCTTGGGCTAAACGGATTGACCTGCTGTTTCCATGTTCCACTATGTACTGTCAATAAAGATCTGTGTTCGTTGCGACTCTCAATGAAAAGAGTGAATGAAACACCAGAGAAGAAGAAAAGGCAAACGGGAGGAAGGAGACTAAATGTAAGAAGTGCAACCCCAGGTAAGGCTGGATACATGCGGAATGGCCTCACCTCTGTCTCATTAACAAATGCCCGCATTCACAAGTGCATCCTCCTGCACACCGTTATAAAACCATAATAACATCTCCAGGAAAATTAATGGAAAGACAGATTAAAAACTAAGTGAGGAGAAACGGGGCAGTGGTGTAGCTATTTGCAACTCATAAATCATCCTGACACACCCACGCGCATGTCGACACACACGTATACACACACACACTCTCACACACGTACTGTAATTAACCACAGGCTATTTACTCTCTCCTGCTGTAAATTAGACATGCAGACACAGTTATTACATTAGGGGAATCTGCCATGCAGAATGCTAACAGGAAGAGGAGGGTTGGGGGACACACTTGCACACAACACAAGCAGCTCATATAATATAAACACACACACACGCACACAGTTACATGTACACAAGAAAGAAGCTATGGAAGAATCATAGACTGACAGGAGTGAAAATGAAGCTGCAGCACAGAGAATAGGGGCCCCCAGCTCTTTGTTCCCTGCTGCATTTCATTATCTGAAACGCCAGCCAACACACACACGCGCACACAGAGACAGGGAAAACGCACTTCCCCCTCCCCTAAAGCTGTCTGCCTTCCACTCCTTGCACACCGCATACACATAAAAAAGAAGAGGAAAATAGAGATACTGCGTCAGTGCCATTCGCTGGCATCTGGAGTCGGTCATGACAAGCGTGTCTGCATGGTCATCTTTAAATCAGCAAGCACAGAAACTGCTCTTGAGTGCCCCTCAGCTGCCTTGTATAGGAAACACTGTCCGATAACTTCCCTTTTCAAATACAACAAAAGGATATGTGGGCTTGTTTGAAGCAAGTATTGATATTCTATCTGGGGGAGCTTTTAGCTGTTTTTTTTTTCAATTCTTGTTGTCTCTCTGTTGGTCCTCTTGTTTCTCCCACCTCGCTCACCCCTCTCTGTCCCTCTGTTTTCCCACGGTGATCGATAGCTCATTACAATCATTGACTGCAGCTCATCAGCACCTGTTAGAACTGCAGAGACAGAAAAAGGTGCAAGGGGTACTTTAAGATTATCAATAAGTTGTCAGATCTTTATAGAAATCGGCTTATCGTTTTGGATTTGGTCTTTTTTACATGGGCATTCATTGCTGCAGGTGTCTAGTGTGTCTCTGTTTTCTGGTCCTCATTCTTGGGGAACATCTTATTATGCAACTCACGTGAGTACCATGGTTTGTTGCTATGGTGATTGCCAGGGGAGCTCGAGTATTATAGGTGTTTATCCTAGACAGGAGAAGGCTACTCTCTATCTATCAGGACGTGCCACACAGTTTGGACCACACAGTAAGATCAACACAGTCACATAAGGGCAAATGGAAGACATATTCAAGAGCAAATGTTAACTACAACACAATTTAGTTGCTTTTATTTTAAATATACATTAACCAGGTAACAAACAACATTGTTCAAATACAAAGTTGTTGGTTTAAAGCATCACCAAGATTTGTGTTTGCAGAGGATGGATTGTTAGATAAGAGAGCAAAAAAGGGATGAATGGGTTGAACCAGAGGCACTATTAGAAACACCACACCCTGGTTAAAAGCACTAAGAACTGGTTTTAAAAAATAATAAAACTTCTAGAAATCCCCCACAAAATGTCTCTGATGATTTGATCCCAACTAAGAGGAAAATTTTCATAAAAGTTTACATTTTTAAGAAAATAGTGGATATAAATGGAGGAAAACAATGGCAGCTGGAATAAAGCAGAAGTGTCTCCCTTCATGCATAAATTACACACATCATTTACATATTCATCATGTTTTGTGTTATAATGAGAGTATTTGCTTAATAGCTTCACCACCACTGGCAGCTTTTGTTTGACACAACAGAATTTAGAGAGTGGGGGGAAAAAAAGAGGAAAAACAAAGGACTGTAGGTCATCTTGGTAAAGTGGGTGAGGTCAATGGTACACAATCAATTTTACTGATAATCGCATCAATCATAATGCTGTACAGTGGAAACAAAAACAACCTACTCAGAGCTCTTAGAGCAGTGAAATGAAGCACAGAGGGGGAGGTGGTAAAAGTTAATTAAAACAACACAGCTTTCTCCAAACTCGTGGCTCTGGTTGTCCTTCTCTTGTCTCAGTGGAATAAGTAACCGCAGCTGTAATTACCTGCAGGGTTGCCACCAAGATCATTCCTTCAGGTGGTAAAATAGTCCTTCAGATGGCAATTAAGACTGGCGGTTTGTGTAGGTTCTATGAAGAAACAAAAGTTATGAATGTTTGAGTAAAGTGATGTTAGCTATGTACGTTAAGATGCATAATGATAAACTGAGAGTTAACGATTTAAAAAGTGAAGAAAGGAAATTAGCGGAATAAAGTGGGATGGAAATGTAGAGACAGGGGGAAGGGCAACGGAAGAATGAGCTACAAATGAGAGCGATGGCAGTGGCAGGTTGGCACGGTGCCATCCAGTCAGGACTAAAGCAGGGCGGGCATGGGCATGGGTGCAGGGGCGAGGAGGATGATAGCGAACGACGAAGAGAAACAGATCTCCACACTGCTTCGGTGATGCCACCTTGGCACAGTGAGAGTCGGGCATTATAAACGGAAAACCGGGCAGAGAAAAGGAAGATACGGAAAAGATGCGGGCAAAGCGCAGCATTGAAGTAAGTGAGATACCATCTTGCAGACGATGACTCAGATGTGAATGAATGACGAAGGCATAAAAGGATGCTGAAGATGTAAATGGATGATTCTTTAAAAGTGACCATCTGCTTCGAGATGTGCAACGGATTCTGAAAATGCAATGATCATTTTTACTTTTTGCCCCCCTTTTGTACCAGACGAAGTGTGCCAGCCAGGAGGCAGTGTGCCAGTTTGTCCTCATGGCATACTCGAAGCCCTTAAACAGATGGCGGAGAATTGTTACACTCAAAGACAAAGGGACTCCCCTTAGAGGATTTATTTCTGATCGTTGTTTGTTTACTCGGAGGAAGCCTAGAAGGATTGCCCGGGCAATGATTGCCAGTGGTTTCAATGGCAAATTGGCAGCGGGGTACAGGAAGAAAGGTGGCATGCTGCCAAGGAAACACAGTTGTAAACAAACATCTGCATCTTTAGCGGATTTTTTTTTAAATGCCTTGGACATTTTTAGTTTAGATATCCCCTCAAGGGATAGACTAAAAACAGAGATGGCATAATGCCAAACAAAAACCGCTAGGCACTTAAAGATGCCGTCAAAGCTATACAGGCAGGTGGAGAATGGCAGCTCATTGATACATGATAGTATAAAGAGACTCACAAATGCAGCTTTTGCAAGTCTATGGATCAACAAGCCCATTGGCTAATGCTGTCCCAGCCTTGTTCACTTCACTTCACAGAAGATGCTGGACAGTGAAACGAATGAAGAAGAGTGAGTGTAACATGTTTCCTTAGAGAGGATGAAAAATAATGAGCAAAAGAAATAAGGAATGTGGAAAAAATTTTGCTTAACGAAGAACAGTGGGAGTGGGTCGACAGAGATGATGAAGAGCCTTTTTCCTGCACTTGCACACCTGGGATGTTCTTAAAGGGAAATCCCCTCAGAGTGCTATATGTGTTAAAGAGAAGGATGTGTTGGCATCATCTCCAGGGTGTCAAGCTGTGCTTCTTCACTGCCATCCAGGGAGGATGCTGCTGGAGTCGTCAGGGGCGGGCAACAGTCTGGGCATCTCATCTGCAGCTAATTAACAGCCACACACTAATTCTAACAGCCGATCATAATTAGCGATTTAATCGCTCGTCAACGACTAGCCCCCCTCCCCCTTGAAGTCTACCTCCTCTCTGGACACGTGCGGATAAGCCAAGGAACGCTTGATCCCAGCCCCCACCTCCCTCCACTCTTCCTCGATACGTCTTTTCTTCATCCTTGGCTCCAGACTCCAGTGGGATCTTAATTAAGCCCGGGCTTCATTATGCAAATGGAGTACAATAAGCGACAGCAGAGGTGGAGTTGAATACAGACTCGAATGGAAAGATGGAAGTAGAATGCTGGAAATAGGAAATGAGATGGGGACGACTACCAAAATGTATTTTTATTTTTTTTTTTTTTTTTATTGTTTTTTTTATAAATTTTGTACTGTTCTAACATGGATGTCGTCTGTGCTTGTGGTACTACTGCTGTGGTTTGAGAGCAAACACAATCATGTTATGACACTCTATAGCCTCGGCCACAGGGAAAACTTCCTTGAAATAACTGGATATTCAGAATGTCATCTCTCACAAAGAAAATTCTCGAGGGATAATGACAATGAACCCCTTAAAATCACCAGTATGCTGGATGCAAAGAGAGATGGTAGAGATTGGGGGAAAGAAAAGGAGGCAGACAGAAACACTGACAGTGGCAGCAGCATGGCAGCTAATGTCATCTGAGTTTAATCATCGCATAGGATCATGGGGTTCATGAAAATTCATTTGCATATCATTAAATGGAGAGAGGTTATTTGGTACGGGCCAGCAAAATGGGATTGGAAGAAGGAAGGGGGTGAAAAAAAAGGAAAATGGAGGGGCTCGTTATTAAACTGCAATGTTTTATAGTCTGCCAGCCGATTCATTTAATTTGGGCATAATTAAAATGTGTCAGGCTCAATCAATCATGCCAACAGAGATACTATCAATGCATCAGTCTGAAAAAGGACTAATCAGAGGATATGCACTTGGACACTTTCCAATAACAGTCAATGAGAATGTGGTATAATCCTCTAGAAGCTTGACCAGTTTTCTACTTCCTTCCAATATGCAAAAGTGCAAACGTGTATCTTTCAAATGCTGTAACAGATGGTGACATTGCACTGTTTCTTTCAGACCATAGATAAGATTTTCAAGTTCGATTTGTTGGTGCATGTCAGTGTGCGTTCCTTATTTGCATAAGTGATGTAATTAGACTGCCCTTTTTGTATGGTGATCAGTTTGGCAACACAAAAATCACTCACACACATACAGTCCTGGGCACACGTAAACAGACTCTGACTGCCAAGACCACCCCCACACCCCTTTCCCAATATATGGAGGGTCTGTTGTCTGTGAGCAGAGAGTGTAAAGATTAACATAATCCAGCTAATAAGTGTGAGTAATATTCACACAGAGGCGCGTGGCATAGTCACTCTCCTGCTGATGCGTATTTGTATCTCATTATAGATGTAAAGTTCTGTGGCTGCCTGCCCGTGTGTTTTTTTTTTGTTTTTTTTTTTTGGGGGGGGGGGGTTGTATTAAGAGGCAGCTTGGTGGGGGTGACAGCAAAGGGTCACAAAGTGTGGCAAGTAGATATGGCAAGTAATCCTCCACCACTTTTGAGGGGGAACCAAATATTAAAACAGGAGTAGAAATAAAGAAAAACATTTTTTTTTCTTCAAAGGTGCAGTGTCAGTTTTTAGGCAGAATACAGGAATTATAAATAGTATATTTGCACTTGCAGTCTAGCTCTACAGCATGATTGATTAGGATGGTGTGATGACCATTAAAAAGTCATTTAAAAGATGGATAGGGACCACATTTCCAAATAAAAACCACTTTATACCTGATGAAGTGCTGAACAAACTCTTCTGCAAAGACGTTTACTGATTACTATTGGGGTATGAGTGAGCGTAATGTGAAAAGCTATGTATCAGCTGTGGGACACACCAGGGCAATAGTCTGCGACGCAGTCAGGCAGCGGGTGGTGGCGCTGACTATTATTAGAGCTAGAATTTGAATTTTTTTTGTTAAAAGCACATATGTACAAGAAACCCTGTACCAAAAAAAAATGCCACAAACAGCCTTACAGCTGCATGCTTATTAAAATCTGTATGATAGCACAGTGTAGCTTCAAATAAAAGCTTATCCTCAGAAGCAGAAGGTGTGTCTGAATGAGCGGCTGCATTTGAGCTCTGTCTCTTTAAGTCGGGGCTCCACCACCGCAGCATGCTTTGGGATTCATGCATAAACATGAGCTGGCCTTTCAAGCTCTCTCCTCACATAACCAATCTAAATCTAAATGAGCCCCCTCTACAGATACACCAGCAGGCAATGACATTACCCCCCCTTCCCTCAGCCCCATCCCCAACCCCCTACTCTACTACCCCCAGCGACACATATACACCAGCAGGCAATAATTTCACGCCATCCCTCAAAGCCCCCCCTCCACCTACGCTCCATGCGCACACATGCACTTGTACCCCCTTTTTGCCGCAACCCCACCAGCTGCACAGTGCTCATTTGATTAAGAGGGGAGGACAGAGAGAAGGAGAAATGGTGGGGGATCACTTTATCACGATGACTTTCGAAGATGGCTATCACCAGATACAAAGCTATCTCAAAGGCCTCTTGTGTGTTTACTTTGTTTTTGCTCTCCCCATGTATCTGCTTTTTCTTTGCTTCCTATAACCAGAAAATAGTTTCTCTAGATATTTTCCTCTGTTGATATTCTGTGTAGTGGCTAAATGAACAGCCCTCCAGCAAGAAAATAACAGACAGTTGCTAGTTTTGGAAAGACTTGTATGTGAAAAACTGCATTCCAGCGCTGTTGCTTCAACCCAATGAAAGATTGTTTTTTTTTTTTTTGTGAGAAAGAGCAAAAATAATAAACTTGTATTCACAGAACTATGCTGTGCTCTTTGTAATGTTTCACATGAATATCAGTTTGTCCTAAAGGTGCTGCAGTATGCAATTTTCCTCCCCTCTCTCCCAGAGTCGTAAAACACATTATCATCATCAGCAGCAGGAGCAGCAATGTAATTCATCCGAGGTCGTTAATATTCATCATATCATTTAGTCACAAAGGAAACTCATCTGGCTGAATGTCAGAGATGTAATTAATGAAGTGACCCTAGAGGTCAAGGCTCCATTCACCAAAAGCCTTCCACACTCATCACAGACACACAACTGCACACCAAATGCTTTCCAGCCAGATGCACCCCCAATACCGAACACACAGCATGTAACACCCTTAAGAGAGCTGATGCCCTGAAATAGAACATTCACAGAGTGACTTTTCTTAGTTAGACCAAAGGGATCACACCAGAGCATGCACCAAAGCAGACTTTATTTAGCTCAGTGGAGTAAGGGGGGAAGGAAAGAGGGAGAAACGCACAACAACAGGGAAAATCTGGGATGAGGATAGAATTGACACACTAAACCACTGGAGCAAGACATAAGGACAGGTGCACATCACAGGTTTCTTTTTGGTCATCACTATGGCAACAACATATCCAGAAAAAAAATTAGGAACTGTTTTACCTACAGTAAGGTCAACAGAGTCTTCTTGTCATTAAAGGACTCTGATATGTACATCTTACAGTCACTACGATCAAGAGAATACAGGAAAAATTAAAATTTTAAATTATCCATATACAACAAAAGACTGCCTATGTGGTATTTGGAATGCACATTTCTGTACAGAAGAAAGCTCATTGGTATTGTCGTAAACATTGGTTAGTTTGAAAAAAAAAAAAATGACAGAGTTTTTCAGTCCACATCCTTTGGAAAGCTTGGCTGTGATGTCAGTTGGGAGTCAGAAAAGTGTTTGAGCTGGGCTCACTGACCAAAGACATTGCAACACAGAAAGACACCATACAAGTATTATGTTTGGGGCTTAACTCATTCAAACATCTATGCAAAATCTTCATATGCACTGAAAAGTTAATGCCCTAAAAAGGTTGATCTTAAACTGGAGGCATGACAAAAAAAAAAATTCCCAATAGCATGAAATCCATTTTTGTCTTGTAAGTTATAGTATACTGATCAAGAAACCTGATAGAATTGAGCCCCACACATCTACAATTGAAACCATATGTTTGCAGACATTGTATAAAAATATGCATGGCATTTTTATTACGCACTGACATGTAATCAGACTGAATGTGTGCTGAATTGCCATAGTATTTTGTATTCACAAAATACCACATACACTTTTACGGAAGATATTTTAACTAGGCGCACACCAGCAAACGTAGAATAAAACAACTCAATACTGCTTAGGCTGAATTAATGAAAAAAAGCTGAGAAGAGAAGAAAAATATATAAGGAAGAGAAGTGATGACCTCCACAATTATGGTGGATCCAAGGGTAACATTTCCAAATACCTTTGGGTGCTGTGGTCATCTGGCATTAACAGGAAAGCCTAAGAATACAATTCTTTTTGTGAGGTGCAGTTTTGGAAACAAAATGTTATCTGGGTGTTTTTCTGCAAAGAGTATTGCTGCACTTTGCATAAGGAGCACATAATCATATGAGTAATAAATATTATGTGAAAATATTAAGGCAACATCTGAAGACATCAGCCAGGAAGTTAAAGCTCGGACACAAATAGGTCTTCTAAATGGACAAAGACTGTACTATGGATAGGTTAGATAGAAATGGGTTTATGATAAATTCATGGTTTACGGCAGACACCAACAAGCTCTGATTTCACTCAGAGAAATTGTGGACAGAGCTAAAAAGATGAATAAGCAAAAATATATTTTTACCATATATACTGTATATTCATATATACAGTGCATGTGAACATATGGTTTCAATTGCTACCTTTGAACAGAATGACAGGAGCATTTTATAAACAGCATCACAGTTATCATTACAGTTTGTAGTCATTAAAGCCTAGTGGTAAAGCGATCAGAGCATGCATCTTTCTACAATATCATTAGAAACTACAGTACATTAGCAGCAAACTGGACATCCTTAAGGGCTGAAGTTCATCACTATGGTATAAAAGAAAAATAAATGTAACATTTCTTAAGAGAAGTAAAACTCTTCAACCACTATATTACAGACTGCCATGGCTCTAGTTTGGGGTTTTGGTTACAGTCTCCAGTGTGCTTATGAGAGGCAGAAAACAGTAGCTTAGATACAGGGACTCCTTCCTTCTCTAAAAACAGCAGTACATCATCAAGTAAACAGTAGCGCTTATTTTTGTAGTTCATATGGTTAAAGTATTATCACATCTTTGGATTTTTGTCTTAAAGCATTAATTATTGTTTAGCTATTATTGTTATATTTTATTACAACAGGTAGAATAAGGACTGGTAGTAAATTAACTGAGAAAAAAAATTAAGTGTGAAGGGAGAAGGAGGAAAATAAATTAAGAATACAAAAATAACATCAATAACATCCAAAGTTTTTTATCCCCTCAACTTTGCAGGAAAGCTCGGTACATGTGGAAAAGAGAGCTACATGTCAAACATCCAATTAAGTCTTGAGTCAACCATACAAAAGCTAAACACTGTACATTTACCCCTCACACTATTAAACACTTTAGTCTTAATACCTTTTTTTTAACAATCATCTCATTCAGAGGTGAAAAGCTCAGATCTTTGAAATGCAGAATTGCTTTTGTAGTTTTCCTGAAATGCTTAGTCCAAGTTAAAACTATAGGCCTTTTTTTTTTTTTTTTTTTTTTGGAAACAGGTTTATATGGTTTGAAGATTACGTCTGAAGAGGAGCCATGTTTATCTGAGCATAGAAAGCTTTACATTTATCACATAACATTGTTAAGCCATTGGTATATTTAACTAAAATGGAAAGGCAGTAATTTACCTTACCTAAAAATATGAAAGCTTGTCTTAATCTTTTTATTATCATGACACAATGAAGCAAGAAAGTTTGTGTCATTCCATAAGATTTTTCATTAAGAAATTATTACTAAACACACACAATGTAAATTCGAGTTTGGTTAGAGTTTCCATATACAGTATAATGGTTGAGTGCTATAAAAAATAGTTTACCCCCTTTGGGACAAACTGGACTTTACATACTGTGCTATTTGGGTGGTTATCCACTTGAGGAACATACAAGGAGTCACATGTACAACAGAAGACTTATCATTGGTTATTTGTGGGGGTGGAGTGGTATTCTAGCACCACATCAGTCTGTTGGATTTCAGTTTACCTATATGAAAGCTGCAGATCACACCCCCTCACCATACAGACGTCCGCTCTGCAGTTTGTTACTGAAAACAAACACATTTAAACTAAACAACAGACATATAAAATTTTGGTTATGAGCTTTGGAATCTGAGACAGTCTTTACAAAAGCTCTATGTGAATACCCATAGGTATTTCAAGGATATTATTCAGTTTGTTCTTGTTTCATTTCCACTGCTTTGTTCTCTTCAAGTTTATTTCTATTCATTTTTTTTGGAGTTCTCTATTTACACTAAAATCTCTTTGACAGTTTATTTTCCAACCTTGACTAGACTGGAACTACATGCTACACAGCTAGTTATCTAGCAATGTCTGGTGTAGGGCCCACTGAGAGTCTGTCATGCAGACTGAGAGGTAGACTGCAGGTCTAGTTGGGCAGTGAGGTCACATACTTGAAGAATGCTCTTTGGCCTCTGTGGCATGGTGTTTTTATGTAAAGATGGAGTTTGGTGTAGCAGGGATTCCAGAGGAATTGGGGGAGAAGAGCTTGCGTCAACAAGAAAGGACAGACCAAGAAATATTTAAGGAGCAATATGAAAAGAGGAAAGCTCTGGTAAAGAGGACTTGGTTTGGGCTCTCCCTAACTAGTTAAGAGAGTTTCTCTTTGGGCCACTGTGGCTCTGGATCTTTGGGGTGTTCATGTTATTGGTTTGGCAGCAGGTAGACAGGGTATCTGTGGTCAAACATAAGTTGAATTAGTGAGTCTGGTGGTAACAGGTCTAAAAGAAGCAGACTGCCTTTTTAAGCTCTGTCTCTCTCTCCTGTCCTAGATGAAAGCTCAGCTGGTTCTCTCTCAGCAGTGTCAGAGGTCAGGCTCCTGGCTCTCTTCTCTTTAGCTCTGGCATTCTGGAACCACACCTGTAAAAAATAATTTTCATTACAATGTATCACATACTACCCTTCAAAAGCTTGGTTTTTCATCTTTAATACTGTTGATTGCTTTTTACTTACTTGGACCACACGTGGAGGCAACCCCAGCTCCCGCCCCAAAGTCTCACACTCAAGGCGGTTTGGTGTGCGGTGGTTCCTGTAGAAGGTTTTAAGCTGAAGTACCTGGAAGTGGCTCATCTGTGTCCTTTGGCGCTGCTGCTGATGGTAATGGTGGTACTGCTGACTTTGTGTCTCACTCATATCTGAACTTTGATCCCCTGCTATTTCAGGACTTGGAGAATCTTGGTCAGCCATACTAGAACTCTCCTCACAAGGGTAGTCATCATCATCATCATCCTCATATTCCTCATCCTCTTCTGGGTTTTTCAGGTTGGTGGATGAACAGTAAGAAGACCCTGGTGGCTTGGGGCTAAACTCTTTGTTGCTCCTGTCATTTTCGGGATTGTGGATAGGAGCAGAGGGGATAGATGGACCTGGTCTGTCTGTGGCAGATGTCAATCCTATCCCACTCTGTCCATTGGATCCATTGCTTATTGACAGATTATAACCTGCTCTTTCAGCCTCTGCCCAGTGACGTGATCTCATATGGGCATCAAGAGCACTCCTAACTTTGAAAAGAGCCCTGCAAAATGGACAGCGCAGGTGGTTCAGGCCCAAGGTGAAGCTTGATCCTGGTCCCATTGACCGAAACTGTCCTTTTCTTTCTCTTGCCCGTGTATTCTGAAACCAGACCTGTAAAAAAAAATAAGATTTCTTTAAATTTATCAACACACTGACAAGCATGAGTCAAAACAATTTATTTTGCTCATCAATAAAATTATACCTGAACTACACGTCTTGTGAGACCAACATCTCGTGCAATACTCTCAAGGACTCCTCTGGTGGGGTTAGAGTCCAAACTGTATCGTTGATACAACACTTCAAGCTGTTCTGGAGTGATGGTGGTTCTCTGACGTTTATCCCTCCTGTGCTCCTCATCAACCTCCCTATTGCCTCTTTGACCTTCAAAACTAGTGTCTGATACATGTTTTGTACTCTGCTTTGTTAGGTTCAGGGAATTGTTAGGAGTGTTACTAGAGTGATCAGAGAAAGTGTTCTTAATTTGGATGTTGTTCAAGTGTGAAATCATTGGATGTGTGGGATTGGGATGTATCTGGGACATGGCCCCTGAAAGCATTTGACTTGCCATTAAAGATGGGTTAGGATGAAGCATCATGTAAGGCATGGGTCGGTCCGTGAATCCAGAGTGTAGAAGTTGTACCTGGGACTGAGCAGTAAGAAGATGTCTAGTTTGATGCTCTTGCCATAGTTGGAAGGATGGCAAAGTCAATGGGCAGAGACTACACTGAAATTGAGTGACGGCTTGTGGCTGGGTTTCGGTTGATAGGCACGTTGTTGCATCAGGTGTCCATGATGGAATTTTTTCTGATTTTAGAGCAGAGGAGGAGCTTGATGATGGGTCAACCTCTTTTTCAGAGGGTTGAACTCTTAAAGGACTGCAAGCTTTTCCATGGTCAGATTTAGCCTTAGACAAGATTGGTATAGAACTAGTTTGTGAAGAGGATGCAGCCCAATTCTGGGCCATTTCTGTTGGGCTTTGAGGTGGTGTTTCAGATGCTGTTTTCAATGACTGAAAGACCTCTTTCTGTTGCATATCTTCAGCTAAACTACTATTTTGAGTGTTCCCAGAAGCTGGTCCCATGTTAGCTTGAGTAGAAGTTATTTTTACTTCTTGTTTCTTTGTAGCAGATGTTTGTTCACCATCGGATGTTTGATGGTCACTTTCTGAGCAGTGAATGGAAGAATTGAGGGAAGGGGAATCAGGGTGGGTGTAATACTCATAGGTCAAATCCATGGAATTTTCGTTATGATGGTCACCTTGTTCTTCATCCTCAAAGCTATTATCCTGATGATCATCATCAGTCACTTGACAACCATTTATTTGTCTGTTGATGTTTTCAAGATTGCTTTTCTCCTCTAATCCATCATCTGTTCCACGGTCTTGATTTTTGCGAGCTCTTTGTCGTGCATTTTGGAACCACACAACAATAACTCTGTTTGGAAGGGACAAGAGAGCAGATAATCTGTCATATTCTTCCTCTCTGGGGTAAGGGGTGGCCTCAAATACTCCCTGCAGGGTCTCCAGCTGTTGCTCTGTAAAACGAGTTCGGGAAGAGCGTCTGCCTCTTTGAGGTTCCTCTGTCATCTGGGGTTGAGGGGAAGAGTTTGCTGAGAGGTCTGGAGAAAGTGAACATGGAGAAAGGGTCAAACTCTGCTTCATTGTTATGTCTTCTCTAAAATCATCCAGGGCTGTGGTAGGGGGATTATTAAAATTGTAAGGAGAATCTTTGTCTCGCTGGCGTTCTTTAAATAACGTGTTGCGAAACCAGTGTTTAATTACTTTGTGAGGCAAACCCGACAAAGAAGACATTTTGTTGATCTCTTCATCACTGGGAAGACTATTAATATCAAAGTGTTTCCTTAAAACAGACAGCTGCTCTTCAGAGATTCTTGTCCTTGTTCTCTTAGTCTGCTGTTGTTCCAATGTACTTGGGCTACCTTGACTTTGCTGTCCATGTTGATTCTGTTGTGAGTGTTGACCAAGCAGAGCTTTGTTAAGCTGTGGGGAATGACCTAACAAAGCTGGGTTGGGTTGGGCTTGCTGGCCAAGTAAAGATGGACTAAGCTGTGGCTGTTGCCCAAGAAGGGTTTGGTTAAGCTGTGGCTGGTAAAATTTTGCCAGCTCAGGGTTTATGCTTGAATCTAACCATGGCTGACTCTGGAGGGCCATAGACTGCATCACAACTGGTGGTAGGAGTGGTAGCTCCATAGGAAAAGGAATTGGTGGTAGTGGAAGCTTCGGTATGGACAATGGTGGTATGGAAAGCTGAGACAAGGAAAGAGGAAGCATGGGTATGTTAGACAATGGAAGAGTTGTTGGGCTTGTAGTATGAGATGTAGCCGTACTAGAGGATTCAGGGAATGGCACTTTCTCCTGTTTAAGCTCAGGTGGCTGAGAAGGAGAAGATTGAGATGATGCAGCAGATGCAGTTATTTTCTGTTCTTTTGTTGTGTTATTTGTTTTATTTATTGGTTCTGAAACAGACTGAATTGGTGAAGATTCCAGTTTTTTCTCTTGATGCTTAACAGAGTCTGTTGGGGTTTCGGGTTCTTTGCATGGGCCTGACGTAGAAGCTGTAGCTTCGGTGGAAACAGCTGAATTCTCTCCTGGCTTTTGCTCGACCAGTGGGTACATCTGGTCATATTGTAGTCTATATTCTTTGGAAAATTTCTCTAAAGCATCAGTGGGAAATAACATTCTGTGAAGATACTCTTGGTGGCTTTTTAATATCAGGGCATTAGAAAACAGCTTGCCACAGTCTCTACACTTTTGTCCAGTTTCACAGCATTTTTTCCTTTTGTTTGCAAATCCATTATCTCTAGTCTGTTCTTTTAAATACATGTCTTTGTTGCCTTCTTCTTCTTTACAAATTTTAATCCCCACTTCTATTTTTTCTTTCTGTAAAGGACTAAGTTCATCTTTTTCCTGCTCTGAATACTCCTCCGCCTTACTTTTGTCAGTGTGTTGTACACTCTGCAGTTGGTGTCTGTGTCTGCTTTGTAAATACTGCAGGGCCAGCTCATAGCCGTAACTCTGTAGCAAAGCTTTCAGAGGCTCCCCATTTGCAGCAGCATAGGGCACTCTTGGAGGGGGACATTCTGATCCAAGATGAGTAAAAGAGGAACAAGCTACTTGATGCTTCTGACTTTCATTTACAGCACCCGTCTCCTCTGTTTCTTGTATTACTAAGGAATTGTTTTGTTCTGTTTCTGTTTTATCTTGCTTTTTGGAGGACCCACTGCAGACTACATCAGCCTTGGCATCATTTTGTGAATGGTCATTTGGCTGCCTAACAGTTGAATTTGAATTTTGCTTCTTGGTGTGTTTCTCCTCCGGCTGGGATCTCATTTTGGAATCTGTCTTTACCTGTTCTTCTGGAATTAATTTGGAAGATGCTTCAAAGCCAAGATCTTGGTTCTTTACATTTAATTCCGGGTTAAGCTTTACCTCACCTGACAAGTAAAATGGCAGGAGTAGTTGCTGTTGAAGGGAAAGCAGGTTATCTGGTGCCAGTGAGAAGTGCTGTTTGAAGAGATTTTCTGTCCCTAGGGGGAGGTGGTGGATTGCTTGGGACTGAAGCAGTGCTGTTTGTTGTTGTAGTTGAGCCTGGACCTGTGCTTGAGCTAAATGCTGCTGCTGTAGTAACATCATTTGATTTCTTGATGCAAGGAGCTCTGCCACCCTCTTCTTTGCTTGCTGGGACTCTGTAGGGTCACAGAGGGTTGGTTGATTCTCACCTAATAAGCCTGAGCTCACTGAGGATGAGGTTGAACCGCTTGTCCCATTTGGATTGTTGTCAAAGGGAAAACTTTTGGAGGTTTCGTCTCTGGTGGTAGCAACCTGGGCATTGGTAGAGGGAACTGAACCTGGAAGGGTTAAAGTTGACTCTGGGGTATGCTGAGCTGAGTTCTGAGCAGCGCGAGCTCGAGTCTGATGAAGCACAGAACGAAGATGTATGTCCAGTGTGGAACTCTGACTATACCCAACTCCACATAATCTGCAGCGATAAGGTCTAGGATCTGGGCCACGTGGGGACTCATGGGCCATGGAATTTGTGCCAGAGTCTTGCAGGGCTCTTCGAGCCCGATGGAGATGGGATACAGAATTATAATGGACCAGAAGAATTGTTTTTTGAGTAAAAGACTCTGAGCATATGGTGCATTTATAAGGCCTGGATGGATCTAGATAACGATCCATTGTGGGGTTTGAGCTCTTTTTGACAAGAAGGCTAGAAGTAGGTTCTGATACAACCTCCTCTGTCGGGCCTTTCTCAAACTCTGTTGAATTCTTCTCAACACCATTACATTCGTGGAAAACCTCCTTCTCTTTAGGTTTATCTACTTTTTTTTCCTCGCTCACCTCCATGCCCAGTGTTTCTTCATCTATCTTGTCATCATCACCCTCTCCTGCTTCTTGACCAACTTGAGGTGATAAACTAAATTCTTGCTGAACTGAATCCTTATTATGCTCCAGGTATGGTGCAGTGTGTGGTGCAAAGAGAGGATTTTGTCCCTGGGTGCTGTCCTGCTGTGAGTGCGTGTTTTGCATGTGTCTCTGCAGGGCCTCCTGGCTGCGGCATTGTCTTGAACAAAGGGGGCACTCTGTCGCCGCCCTCATGGCATGGTATTGCCAGTGCAGCTGGAGCTTCTCCTGAGTTGGAAATGCCAAGCTGCACCTGCTGCAACGAAACCGGTAACCATGACGATCCGAAAGGGGAGAGGGGTCGCCGGGAGGGGAGATGGGTGGAGAGGAAGGGGGTGTCTGAGTTGGGGACTGAGGAGCCAATGTGCCATTGGAGGGGTGAGTGGTGTTGTCCTCCAGGGGTGGGGTGAGTAGTGCTGTGACATCTTTGGGTGCGGCAACGTTCCCCTCAGTGTTCTCCGTTGAGATGCCTGTGAAATGCACCAGAGTTCGGACCCATGAAAATGTAGTACAGGAGAAATTTTTTGACCAAACAGAAAAACATACTTATTTTTTCAAATTTAATATATTTATAAATACTGTTCAGTTCTATACATATTTTTTTTACAAACCTTTATTTTTTGGTGGATTAACAATAGACTCTGCTGTATGGGAGCAGTTTCCATCATTGCTCTTCATAGGTTTAGAGTTCAGATCATTTTTAGCAATCAGATTCTGTGGTTCTGACTCCAGCGGAGACTCAAGGTGTTCAATGGAAGGTGTCACCTAAAAAGAATATAAAGAAAATATAAAATTCCTACTGCTGTGCCCTTTATAGCCAGTAATACAAAAAACTCATCCAAATTGTGGAGTAAAACAGCAAGCAAATACCAAGTTTTACAAAGATTACATATGCAAATAATTACTTTAACAATGTCATAAATCATCCACATATATCATATGTTTTTCGTTTTGCCTTTATAGCTGTGCAAACGTAAGGCACATCGGTTTGTTAATAAGAATTCTCTTGGTTGAGATATGCATCCCTGCCCTTCAGTCCCTACATCACATGCCCCAAGGGTTTAATAAAACTTTGCTGAGGTGAATAATTAATTTATTTAAAAATAATTCTTCATATAGGAAACCTCCATCCCCACTGCTTCCAGCAGCAAGGGTAAATAATATATCTATGCAAACAGCTAGCCACCCTGAGGAAAGGACAGAAAGCCAAAGATGAGATTTACATGACAAGAGTCTTCACTGTGTAACAGCTTCATAGCTGCAAAAGAGAAGAACAACCACACATACACACTGTAGAGAAAAACTGAAGGTCAGACTTAATCTAGAGAGCGTAATTGGAAAGCAAGGTACATAATGGCCATCATCACCTCAGTCTGAATTAATGAACCTCAATTACTATCAGAGAGAGTGAGGGCGGGGAAGGAGTGGAGGGACAGAGGATGGGGGGGAAGTACTAAAGGGTCTAGAATATGAAAAAGAGATAGAGCAAAGAGGGAGGAAGTTAGGAAGCAAAGAACACAAAAAAAACTGCTGTGGACAGACAGTGAGCTAGAGAGGGGGTAAAGCATACAAAATTGAGAGAGGGCTTGGGTGAGACAGCAAGAAAGGGGCAGGACAAAAATAAAAGAGTGATTTGAGAAGCTGGGGAGGATGGGGGGCAGCAGAGGGGAGAAAGGGTGAAAAAAGCAGTCATGAAGAGGAGGGAAGAGAGCAAGAGACAAAGGCCACTTAGCATACAGGCCAGGGAGATGGAGGATGGTGATGTGGATAGATGACTGGTCATTGTTAGTTGGAGAGACACAGTAAAAAGCACAGGGGCCCCTTTTTAGCTTGACTGCACTTCTGGTAATAGAGGGCTACTTAAACATGCATTATAGAAAGACTGGCTTTTCCTACACTCACTCACTCAAACCTACTCTCTTTCCACTATACAAGATGCTCACACACACATCCAAAGAGAACGCGCGGCTGCATCAAAGATGATAGCGAGGAGCTACTTAAACATGCATTAAAAAAAAGCGGCTGCCTTTCTCTCCGGTGCCTTCTTAATGGAATTGTCTCCCTACATTTCAACCATCCCCACCATCCCCCATTGCTTCAGCTTCTCATTTTATTTTACTTCCTGATAAATGCAAGGGCAACAAATACACAGTTACACATGCTTACCGCACTTATGAGCTTATCTACACAGTCTTGCGCCACACTGTGCACTTGTGTTAGATGCAGTCGAAGGTTTGAACATGGGAGTCTAACTTGGCACAATGGGCATTGGACAGTCTGAAATTGAAAAACTTGAATTAGTAAAAAAGAAATCATCCATGAAGTGTTATAATTTAATAATGCATTTATTGCTATATATATATATATATATATATATATATATATATATATATATATATATATATATATACATATATATATATACATATATATATGGTGTTATATTTTGTCAAGTATTTCAAATGCCTACCTGCTGGTTCTCATTTTGCTGGTGTGTTCTGGGGCGTTTGGTTGGGGTTTCCTTTTCCTCATGTAAAGAAAGCGGCCGCTTTCCCAAAGGCATTGAATCTCTTCTCTCTTGTTCTTTTGTTTTTCCTTCAAGTAAAATTTTGAACATTAGGTTAGCTATTTAATATAGAACTAATATTTTATTTGAGGTACTTGCATATATATGTTTAATGATTTGCATGAGCAGCAATACCCGTTTCCTCGGCTGTTTTCCCTCCTAAATAACTCTTGTCTTTGGTTGTATCCAAGGGATCAGTGCTGGTCTCACTGGAAGTCTCCATGTCCTCAGTAAGCTCTCCTAGTAAAGGACAAGACAACATTTATGGTATGCAAACGCAGAGGCTTATGTAATGCAGTCTAACAAACATGCCTATTGCCATTTATATAATTCTTCAGGCAGCCTCTTGCAAGAAGACCATGTATTTTAGCAACACTTCATTCTTCTTGATTGCCTGCAAACCCTATCGATCACACATTGATTCTGCATTAGATTCTCTCAGAGGTGGAGTAGACCTAAAATGGACTGGCAACACACAAGCTCATTTCAATGAGTCTTCATTTGGAGCGAATTAAATCAAAGGATAGATTAATTTCACAAATGAAGCGTTGAACTACTTATTTCAGGGGTTACACAGTCCACACACTCCAGACAATATAAATACAGCTTTTATCTTGAGCAGCCTGTAGAATAATGACTAATCTCCGCCTCCTACAGTCTTTTTCCAGTTGATCTGTTTTAGTCCATTGATTAGCAGGTGCTAGTTAGCTGTTGTCAGGGGTGATTGGGGATATAACAAGGATGTGTATTGACTAATCGCTTTGTTTGATCAATATCCCAGCAACAGCCATTGCTCATTTTCTCACAGTTTTCATCTCAATTCTCTGTCTACTCTCTGGCGTCAACAATCCCTCGCAACATGAAATCAAATCCACCCACACATAGGCATAGGCAGTTAACTGCTATCAAGATAAATAAAGGTTTAAAATGTTTTACCAAATTTTAAATAAAACAGTTTGCATGGCTAAAAGGATATTAACGGGAATCCAGAGAATGAATTGGAACAACTGGGGTTTTCTTTTGGTTGCATTGAGCGTATAGCAACGTAGTGCTGTCTGCCCCCCATCTCCTGCGCTTCTTTCAGCCAGCTGACAATGCTGGTCAGGTGGTTGATAAAAGCTACTGCTTTTTTTTCCGTCTTTGCTTAGATAAAAAAAAAAATATATATATATATATATATATATATATATATATATATATATATATATATATATATATATATATATATATAGTGAAAAATACAGCCAGTCATGGCATGGTAATTAAAAATGAATACCCAACAAGCCCATTAGGGTAACACTGATTTAAAGCTATAGTTGAAAAACTATTTTTTCTTTTTTTTTTTTACATCTATGAAAGAAATATAAAAATGACAATAAATGCATGTAATACTGTGATACCTACTGTCATTATTATTTTTGCCTCAGTATATAGATTTATTGCTTTTCTGTTTTATGATAGATACAATCACATTTTGCTATACTTTGCATTATTTTGTCTGTTGCTCTTAAAGGGTGGTAAAACTATGGAATTTTGACAGTAAAATGCATTCTAGGAAATGTGAGAAATATGGGAACTGATCAGAACTTTTGGAACTATGCAAGTTTAAAACATGGAATTTAAAGTATTGCAAATTGATCTTTACCTGGAATTTGTACAGTGTTGGGAAAAATATTTTTTAAATAATTAGATTATTATTTCATCCAAGTGCACGTCACAATGTCTATGCTATTCCTCCAATCTTCACTCCCCATCATATGAACGGATAATTTCTAGTACACTATGTCAATGAGGCCATGCAGTTCAGTCAGTTTGAATGTTTCCATACATTGTCACCTTAAGAGTCATTGAGTCGATGCAATCAGCTTGAATAACTGCAGGATCTGGTGGAATTGTGACTGTTAAGTGCCTCAAGATGACATATGTTGTGAGTTGGCGCTATATACATAAACTGAGTAGAACTGAATCTAATTGAACAGGGAACCAGGGTGTTTTGATTAAATGTTACATTTAGATTCTAGCATGACTACCCTACACTTCATATTCTCACCTGGTATGCCACTTTGGGATTTTCTGATGGTAAAAATGGCTGCCAGCTCTTCTCCGCCCATTGGCTGCAGCTGCAGTAGCCCTTCTCTTTGTTGATGGGCTGATGTTTGACTGTGTTTTAGTACTTGCAGTTTAGAAGAAGAGGAGTGGTTGCATAGAAGACAATGGAACAACCATGAACCTCCATCAACCTCACCATCATACTGCTGCAGGAACTGAAATTAAAGTAGAGAGGGAACAAAATATGCAACTTTACTTATAGTATTATAAAACAGCTTTCTACATAGATATCTTCTAATTGGTGAGAGGTATGCAATCATAATTTTTAGCCAGAATAGGATAAAATGTGGTTCTTAGCCTTACCTTGTATACCCGAAAGCTCAGCCCATGGTTTGAAGTGAGGGAATGCCCCTGTAGCTTCTCCAGACTGCTTGTTACAAAGTCACACAGGTTACACCGCAGCTGGACAGGGTTTCCCTTAGTTATGAGGGAAGCGCCTTCCTGACCCCTGTCTCCACCTTCCTGGAGGTGAGCAGCAAGCTGGTAACGGGTGCGGTGTCTGTCAGTCTGGCAATGTAAGGAGAAGTTGGCCCTCAAAGGGGTGGTGTAGCCACACAGTTTACAGTGGCAACCACCTGCTACAAGGGAGCACCACTCAGACTGAGGCAAGGAGCGGGGCGCATTAAGGTGTTTCTCTACAGACTCTAAGCTGTCGGAAGAAAAGCACAAGCAAACAAGGCATTGGAACACACCCTGGGAAAGGGGTGTAGTTGGAGACATAGAGGGAGCTGGAGGAGGAGATGGGGAGGGGGATGGTGATGGAGTAAGCGTAGACCCAAGGGTGACTGGTTGTTCTGTCACCTGCTGACCAGTCAGTCTCATGTTCAAGGTAAGCTCACCACCTACAATTGAGCATAAAAATTAATACTACTTTACTAATTCTTAATTATTTTTTAATAAGTGATATTAGGATAAATTGAACAACAAATTCCTCACCTGGGTTTTGCAGGTGTTTAAGATGTGGGGCCAGACCCCTACAGTGAGACAGGTAGTAGCCTCTCTGAAGCCGGAGCATGTTGTGCGTATGTTTCTCGCTTGTAGTGTGTATGCGGAGGTTGCGGGCAATGCTGGTTTCATAGTCGCATACGTCACATCGCCACCGCTTGCCATGAGAGTGAGGTTGGGCAGGTGATGTAATTTTAGCAGGCTGGGCAGTGGGTGTTGGAATAGTGAGGGGTAACTTGCTGTATGGCTGCTCATCCACTGGGTGACCACCAGAAGACTTGTTGCTGTTGTTATTGAGAGTGCTTTGCATGTGACCATTTGCATGTCCCCCATTTTGAACATTGTTGAGATGTTTATCAGATTGCATGTGTATGCTGAGGTTGCCCTTTGATGAAGTAGCATAGTCACAGACCTCACAGCGGTAGGGCTTGTAGCCACAGGCGTAGGTTTCACCTCGTGCCAAACGAGGATGAGGTTTCCCCGAAGTGCAGTACCCACACACACCTTGCGGTCCGCCACCACAGACGCACTTTCCCCCGGAGGTGCCACACACACACTGCCCACCCGTCTCTGGATGTTTGTCCTTCATGTGAACTTGTAGAGTATGTTGAGATTTGTAATGCCAGTTACACTTTGGGCATTTGAGAGTCTTGCAAGAATTGCGTGAGTGCATTATTGTCATGTGGCTGGTCAGTGAGTTATTAGAAAGCTCTTGGTTGAGGTTTTTAGGAACACCTTCTCTTTGTTCTTCTTCTTTGTTTTTCTCGTCTTCGATTCCTGTGTCTAACTGACTTTCATTTGGTTCTGGAGCTTTGGCACCATTTCCGTTGGAAATGGAAGTGTGAGGAACCCCTGCCAGCACATCATCTTCTGGTGCACCAGCAGGCTCTATACCTGCCAGCGGAAAAGCCATAGAAGACTGCTGGGATCTAAAGCTCTGTGGAAACCCAGAAATCCAGCCCTGATCTCCCTTAATGTCCTTTACCTCTGTCTCGCTCAGCAGGGAGGAAGAGGATGATGGACAACTGAAGTGCTTTGGAGAGACTGAAGAAATAGGGAAGGGCTTTGGACAAGAGGAGGGAGTGTGGGAGGGCTTTGGAGAGGCGGCTGTTTTGCTGTCGAGTGTGCCACTGGCCATTGCAGTGCTGGAAGAAGAGCTGTACTGGCTCTGTTGAGGTAATAAAGAACATTTGGATTTGGTTTGACTTTGGTTTGAAATGGCCTCCTCCTCTTCCTTACCCTCCTCTTTGCCTCTGCTGCTGAGGGCCGCTGGGAGGCCCCCTGTATGTGAGGCCTCTACCACATCTTCATGTACCTTACGTTCATCTCTCCTTTGCCCTGACAGACATCCCTCCGCAAAGTCTTCTTTAAACCCACACCTTTGTTGCACTTCATTCTCCAGCGGATGTCGGCCACCTTCTTTCTCATCTCCTCCCTCGCCAGCCTTGGACCCCTCTGCGCCCCTCTTCCCCTGCTGAGGCGGGGTCAGGGATTCTTTGGCAGGGGCAATGGCTGAGGTATGAGAGGACGACGACCCCTGCTCAGGAATGACCGCCAGGGTCAGGAGAGGAAGAGATAAAGCCTGAGGACTGAGGTCAGCATCTCTCTCCTCTCCTCCCCCTCCATCCCCTCCTCCTCCCTCACCGGTGTCCATACCAGAGGCTACAGCTGTCGCACATTACAAGACCACCTGTTTTTTTTTTTTTTGGACAGACAGAAGATAGAGAGAAAAAGTAGAAAAAAATCCATGAGTAATCTTAATACCATTGCATAACAGTGGAGTCATTGATCAGATTCCTTGGAAAACATCTGTTTAATACAACATTCACAGTGCACAATCCAAAGGCTGGTTACCCAGGGGTTAGCGTTAGCCCTTAATGGGAAAATCAATAGCATGAGTGCTAAACTGGGTAGAGGAATGTGGGTAAAGGCTTCACTGGAGGTCTGTAATATTCCTCAGGGAATAGGATTAAATAGAGAACAGTATGCTTTAGAGCTAGAGGGCTTCCATGAAAATGCCGCACAGAAGATACACGAACACTTACTATAACCAGTATATTAGTCTTTGCAGCTTTCACTTTGCATCTGGGAAGACTAATTGTAAGACAACAGGATATCTTGGTATTACATGCTAAACTCCTTCTTGCCAATTTGTGGGATTTATGCTTAATTTGACCAAGGTTTTCACCAGCCCTGAATAAAATTTGAAATACCTATTCAAAACTATGATCTTTTATTTGATATTGTTAAACTTGTTTGAGAAATTGAGTTTTTTTTTTTCAATAAAATATGCACTTATGGACATTAAATCTATGCCCTAGTTTTTTAACACTATTTGCATGTCTTTGGTTCATAATAGTTCATATAATAGGTTAAAGGTTTTTTGTAGTTAATTTTCAAGTAAAAAAAAAAAGTCAGCATAATTAAAAGAGGTTTTCTTCTGATCCATAACTAGATCATGGCTGACATATTTAAAATACAATTTGCTTTTATAGCATGAACAAAACAATTATTTACTTTGCAGATGCACTAAAAAATAGATGTAGAAGTTCCTCACTGACATCTGTTAGTCCATGTGTGTTTCACAATCTCATTACTGACCTTTTTTTAATCAAGGTGAGACCTTCATCTACCCTTTCACCTTCCTTTTCAAGAAACCCTCCCCCCTCTTCCTCCTTCTTAAGCACCCCCATCTCTCGTCTGTGTCCAGCCCCCACCCCCTCATCTCTCTCTGCAGCTTCAAGATATATGGCTCATATCGGCACCCTGATAGTGCTTTAATGCACTGTGTTTATGTCACAGGCCACAGACCCTTGCCCACTGCAGCTGTCCACTGTCCTGCCCAGCGATCACTGAGGGGGCCGAGCCTGGCCTGCCAGCAGCTGAGAACAGCCTCTAATCTGATAAAGATTTTCATTTACACTGCAATCAATAACCTGGGGTCTATCGGCAATGTAACTATTTATACAAGCATTCCTGGCTCTGTATTGATCACAAGTGCGGGAAACCATCATTTAACGATGGGTGTGTGTGTGTCTGTCCATTTGTGTGTGTTAATGAGTGCTCATCCTTTTGTGCTTCACATTTTGATTATGTCAATTAAGAACACTCACCTGAGATTAAACATGCATGAGCTTATTACAGGCCCATTAAGGCTGTTTTATAGCAGTGTTTAAATATTAATACATATAACATGCTGGTTATTGGTTAATAACACAACAATGATTTAAAAAATGTAACAAAAAAAATAATACATGTAAGCATAGATTCCCTAGTTGGGGTGTGTGGGTGTGTGTGTGTGTGTGTGTGTGTGAATAGGTGTGTGTGGGTGTATGAGTGTGCAGCACAGAAAGGAAAGGCAGGGATATGAAAGGGGATGAGAGCCAGCAGAGAAGAGTTGTGTGCTTTATACTTTTTTTGTTTTTTGTTTTGTTTTTAGTATAGGACATGGATTTAAAGCTGGATAATGTTATTTGTGAAGAATATGTAGATGGAAGTTGATCTCCAAAAACCCAGAAGGTAAATTACTAATATATATATATATATATATATATATATATATATATATATATATATATATATATATATTATTTTTTTATTTTATTTATTTTTTTCGGAACCATCGTAGCAAAGGGAGGGTTTGTCTAAAAAGAAAAACAGACATCAGCTTGAATAGTTCACGGATCGACTATCCGAGTCTTCCACTTCTGCCTTTGTTTACACTGCGCCCTACTCCAGATTTGCACTTTCTGATTCAACTGAAACCACACTAAAGTTACGTGACAGGTTATTTGATTGGCAAACGTAACAACAAAAATTGGATCCGTAAGAAATACAGGCTGTACTGGCCAAACGCTCCCCCCTCCCTCCCTCTCTTCCCCGGCTCGCTTCCCTCGGCTTCCCCGGATCATCGTAAACAAACGGCGCACTTACATTTCTGCAGCTCCTCCGGTTCAAAGCTCCGCACGCAGAATCTCGAGTCGTCCTGAAAGCAATCGTAAGGAGTATCCGCTCATTCCTTATGAATGATCCTTTGCTGTGTTTTAACGGAGCCAAGAAGAGGAAGAAAAAAAAATGGGGAAAAGGAGAGAGGGGGGGTTGGAGAGAGGGAGCAGCGGGGTCCAAGTTGTTTCAAAACAACAGTGTAATTAAAGCTACATAGAGTGGCTGTAGTAAACAGAAGAGATGGGGACGGAGGGGTTTGTGCGAGCTCCAGAGGTAGAATGAGTTCTGATCACTGAGGGGAGGAAAAAACACTTGGCTCTTTATTCCTGCTAATTAGTTTCCTTCAAAAAATGGCTGAGATTATGCGCAGTGCGCATGTGCGTAATTGCGCAGACACCGCTAATTAGCCCGTTTGGATCAATAGGATTCCGCGAGAGAGAGAAGAGAGAGAGGGAGAGCAGAGGGAGGGAGGAATTGGGAGGCGGAGAGCTCACATCGGAGACTGCTTTTAGAAAGAGGAAAAATATAGAAAAAGTGTATTTTACAGGTAAAATCGTGACTTTTGGTGAAAATATATAGATGGAAATTCTCTTTTAGATTTATTTAATAATATCACATAAGACAAAAATATATAGCTTGAAGCTTTTTTTTCAAGCAAAAACAGAAACAAAATTTTTGAAAACGACGCTTTTTACAATGGAAAGTCTTGAAAAAATAGACAAAATTTTACTCCTATAAACAAAAAATGCGACCTGCACCAAAATGTCTCTTTCTTTTCATTCTCACAAACCCGCTCACCCTCCCAGGCCCCGCAGGACGTTTTTTAATATCTCATATTTACATTTTTAGCCTAGAAAAGATGCAATATCCAATCATAGGTCCATTCTTAGACATAAAACGCACCTCATTACTTTCCAGAAAATAACTGAATATCTGAACTTGAAGGATCTGTTTTATGAAAGTTGAGGATTTAACATCTTAAAACAATTTTAGAAAAGTAATATTCCTTTTAAAATATCTCAAATTATTTAATGCAACAATAAAAGAATAACTGCGTAAAGCGGACGCGCTGTTGATTTTACTTCAGCTGTTTGGGCAGAGTGTATCTCTGATTTAATTTCCATCTTCCTGAAAAATAATAATAATTAAAAAAAAAAGAACCTTAATCAAAAAATGACGTGTCCATTTCAATGTTTGTCCTTAGACAAGACCTTTAGGGCGTTATTTTTCATCCGCCTTCTCCGATCGTCCGACCTTACAACTCAGTTCCATTGTTATGATAATGCTATTGTGGATTTCACGCTGGATGTGCAATCTGTCGATCCCCCATATATTTAAATAGTCAACATTGCATTTATTTTAAGTTCAAAATGTATGCTCTTTAAAAATATTCAAATAATGAGAGATAATGTGTAATAGGCCTATATCCACATAAGGTTGAAAATACTAACGGCTATCCAAGACCTTATTTGAATATATGATAGAAATGAAGATATTGTCTTATTTTACAATAAAAGAAAATTAATTTTCCTGCTATAAATGTGTAAAAACTTAAATCATTGTCCCCCTCTCTCCCCAATTAATTTAGCGCCAAAATGATTTGTCTCGTGCGTCTGTGAAACATAAATATTTTACGATTGGACCACATTTGAAGTTATGATCTTGCAGAGGCCTGTATCAAAGACTGCAGGTTATCAAAACCATAAATCACTGTCTGCTCTGTTGTCTTTAGGCAAACATGGATTTTTCTCTTGTTATGGCTGCCGTTAAATCGGAGACAATTTGTCATTTTTCGTAACGGAAGACAACGACAATGAATGGCAGCATGAGTTCCAGCGTTATGGTCCAGACTGCGGGGTGCGTCAGTTGGTGGTGAGATAAGCTATTTTGCACAACAAAAACAAAAAAATTTATTCTTTTTCCTAAAAAAGAGTAAGAAAAAATGTATCAGATACATTTCGACCATTATGTTTTGGATTTTTTTTTTTGTTAGTGTTTTTTCTGGCTGACTAAGGGCTGTGATATTTGTTCTTGCAAAATATTTGGCTTTAATAATTCAGTTTATCAGCATTTCATTAGAATATATTGTCCTTCTTTGCAGGAATACTCAAATGATGGTGTATGTACCCCCATTTTTTACACTATAGAGACGTGTAGATATGGAGGGTAGAGCACTAACAGCCTAAATAACTAAACATTCCTCAATTTTTTTTTTATTTTATTGAATCCTCCACATTGGTTAGTATTTGTCCTTGTGTTTTCGCCACACGTATGATGCCTTTTTCTATACATTTATTGTTATATTATTTTAACTAACTTAGGGCAGGAATATTTATATAATTTGAACTCTTTCCCATATTGCCATAAATGTCACTTAATTCTAGTATTTAAAAAAAAAATAATGAAGCAAAAGATAAATATGCATTTTCTTTTTTAAATTTGCATCTCATTTTCCTCATTTAAATTATGGTGGTGGCAGCATCATCCTATGGGGTTCAATCTGTATTGATAAATGTTCTCCTATAGGTCTCCTGAGCTTGATTTGAGCTTGATTGAACACAGATGCAATCCACGTTTTTTCTAATTATTATTAGTAAATCTGTTTTATTTCCATAGATCACTTATCTACCACTTTACAATAATGCACCAGTCTGTGATGGTCGATTTTAGAAAATCTAAAGAAATACAATTCAAATTTGAGGCTGTTGTGACAAAAGGTGAAACAGTTTTGGCTTTATTAATACTACAACATGCTGTGTTTGTTTACATAATTTTCACACAAACATGGATAGGATGTGCAGTAACTCGAGCTGTGCTGCCATGTCCTCGGCTGTATGCCAGGCGTTTGTTGTTTTCACTGAAATATATAGTTAGCCCTTCCACCAATTTACCCTGTCAGTGCTAATGGGGCAATTAACCACTGTGATACCCCCCAGGCAGAGAAGGAGAGCCGAAAAGCTTCCCAACTCCAAACTTGTCTTTATGACATTTATATGACAAAAAGTGGGGGAAACTGGGGACCAATCTGACACCTTGGAGGGTCCTTAATGTCACTCCCTCCCTTGCTCACAACCCTTACTGCCCCGGGGTATGGCACCAACCTGAAAGTGTAATACATCATATACAGTAAGAGGCACTGGCCGTGTCTAGCAGGGAGAAACTTCTTTACTACTGGAGAGTTTGATGCTGTGTCTTGGTTTGCATAACTCTAATTGTTAACACCCAAACTCACTGTTAACATCCTCCAGCCTGACCTCTTCATTCATTTAACGCCTCCTCAGTGTCTGTAAGTCCTTTTGTCTGAGCTCACATTCCACCTGTCCTTCTTGCTTCCCCAAGGAGGCAATATCCTCACTAGCAAGAGCTTCCCCTCGAGCCGTTGTCATAGTAACTTGTGGGCTGGTCGACATGACAACCCCACCATGGTCCAGAGATAGATGATAGGGCAGAAATGGGGAGGGAGCATACACATGGGGGATTTGTACCCCCTTTAATTTGGTTTGCCTGTTTCTGATTTAAGATGTTTTTTCTCTCTCCTGCTATCCCTCTTCAAAGGCAATGTACTGCCTCCATCAACCTGTGCTACATTCACACAGGTATTTATAGGCCACAAAACGTATCCCTTCTAAGCTTTATGGCTCCTTGATGGCCGCTGCATGCAGAGAAATAATTGTACAATTTCTAAGGTATCACAGAAAGTCCAAACAAAGTGCGCTCTTATTTCTTAAATATGCATGAATAAACTTCATATTTTCTTCCATAACATACAGTATCTTGCATTTTTTCAGTACACTTTGTAATAGTTTGTCCGATTTTAAATGCACACTGATTTAATGTGACTAAGTAACAAACAACAGTAGGTTTGTAGGTTCTCTATGAGAACCAATTGTTACTGCAGTTACAGCTGCAAGTCTTGCAGGGTGTGTCTCTACCAGTTTTTCCAATCCAGCGATGCTCTTTCTTCTGTACTAAATGGCTCATGTTCAGTCAGTTTGCTTGGGATTCTGTGTGGTTTCAATAGCAAAAATATTAAAACACAATTTCACTCCCTTTTTAACCTAATCAGTTGCATGCAACACTTCATGTATTAAAGAAATATAAAAATCCCTCTGTCCTTTTTCTTCCACTTCCCCGTAACCTTGAAAACATGATATATAAACTGTGTTTGTTGTTGTAATGTAACAATACTTTTAATAAAGCTGTAGGCATTTCATAATGCGTTGTTAATGTTCTCCATTTTGGGGAGTCCGTTCTTGAACTCTTTTCAGATCATTGCAGAAGAGGAGCTTGCAGCTGCATAAAGGGGCAAGAGCAGAAAGGCTTCATTTGTTAAACCTCAGTGTCAGCACCTGCTGATGTGCTGACTTTGTCATAGCATGTTTAAAACAGCTACGGCGTTATGGAGGTTCATTCGATCACTATGTCAAGCTTGCTGCTAGTGAATGAAAAATCATTTTGATATCTGAAAAATAAATCCAGAAGTGTCAGTTTAAATATTTATTGAATGTCTTCAGTATTGAGAAATCGTCAGAAGGTTTGATGGAAATTCAGCAACCTGCCTCTTTTCTTGTCTATTGTTTTTCGTAATAAAGTTTTTTACTGGCCAGATTTGTTATCAGCAACTGATTTCTCATCGGAAAAGGGACAAAGAGGAATCTCTTAATAACAACTTTAATGAAATTATACTAACAAACCAATATTACCTGGTTCTATATGTGAATGTTGAATGTGTGCAATAAAGTTAGAGAATCTATGATTTTGAAAAAAAAAAAAAAGCATTTAATTTGATAATAAAAACTCTAAGTTTTATATGTTATTCAAATATCTCATCAAGATGTGGCTTGTTCTTGCTCACAAGAACAATTATCCCTCTTTTTACTTTGTTTCTGATTTAATTTTCTTCCTGATCAGACAGTGCCTGTTTGTGTGATCGTTTATCTTTCATTGTTATTATGATTCATTTGTTTATTTTTGAATGCGTTTGATGTTTTATTCATTTTATTTTTGTTGCCTCTGCCTTTGACGGATGAAATTCCCCTTGGGGATCAATAAGGAATATCATCTTATTTCATTTCATCTCATCTCATATCTTCTCATCTCCACGGCTGTGGCCTGCTGCAGTAGGG